GTCAAATCAGATCTGACTGGTACAGGAGGAGATTGTTCCTCCTTCTCCAGGAGAGCATCTGGTGGATTTGAACCGTGCACCTCTGGGATTGCAGTACACCTTCTTGCCACTAGGCCACCAGAGCTCGCCTAGAAAGGTTTTATAACTAAAAAATCACAAGTAAACTTACCTGCTTATTTGATATTTTCTGTGACTGACATTCATTTTTAGGGCTCTTACATTCTTCTTTAACTAGAGAAAAGACAATAGAAATTTTGGTAAATGCAATTTTGCCTCAAAGAATTAAATTTACCAAATAGTACCAAAGTACTGTGTTAACATTTTAGAAAAATCCAAGACAGTTATCTTGAATTTATAACCTAGGCGAGGTAAAGAAGACCTAAACAAGAGAAGGAAGAGAAGGTGGTATCTGAACTGGTCTTTGACAAATAAGAGGTTTCCAAAGTGTAGAGAGGGAGGCCGTAGCCAAAGAGCAAGGAATGTGTCTATAAACCTCTAAATAAATCATTTTAACGTTAATGTCATTACATTGTGGACATTAATTTCTACATTGTGCTCCTTAATTCAAAGAGAAGAAAAGAAAGAATATATGAACAAAGAATATGAAAATATCTGTACACATTTTACACAAAAATCTGTTATAATAATTTTCAGTATTTTCATAGTGTTAACATGCAAAAAAGTATTGGGTTGCTCTAAGGACCTTTAGAATCTTTCTCTTCCATAAAATAATGAGCAAACTGGCATAATTTGCGAGCACTGACTTATTCAGAACTATAGAAGTTAACTAATGGTGTGAAATAATCTGGGGGATTTTACCCAAAGAGGAAGAAAAAAAACTATCTGCAGAGGGATCAGGAAGCTCTGTGGTTATTTTTAACAAGTCCTAGTTTCTTTATTGACCTCTAAATCCAGAGTTATCTTATAAAACAACATTCTGCTTTCCTACAGACAACCAGCAGCCTAAGAACCTTCAGAAGCAGCAGAACAAGGCTATACAGCTCTCTCAAGTACATACAAATTTTATAAATGTTTGAAGCATTAACATCAATCTCTCACAAATTTTTCCAAAGCACAGAAGAGGGAGAAACATTTTCTAACTCATTTTAGGAGTGATTGTTACCCTGACACCAAAAATAAGATAAAGATATCCCCTAAAACAAAACTACACACCCATAACCCTTGTGAACATAGATGTAAAACTCTTCAACAAAATACTAGCAAATTGAAACCAGTAGCGTATAAAGAAAAATGAACATTAGACATTCCTCTAGGTCGTATATCCCTGGTGTACAAGTTTCTGTGCAGTGGTCACTTGTGGTTGCTGTGAGGCTGAACACTGCGACACTGATGTGTCAAATGCATTAATGATTGGTCACCCAATGTAGACAGAGAGTGGGGTGGAGCTCCCCGATTAAAACAAGCTTGGAAGGAGGAGTGGCATCCACTTCTGTAATATGTTGCCTATGGAAACCCTGTGAACCTAGAGAGAGAATGAAAGGCACCCAAGCGTTGAGGACTCTCCTTCATAGGGTTGCTATGAGTTGCTTGTGACTTGATGGCACTTAACAACAACAACCACCACCAAGAGCATATAAAATGATTACACACTATGAAGAAGGAGAGTTTAACTGAGGAACTCAAGGTTGGTTTAACATACAAAAATCAACCCATGTAAATATACCCTCATAGTAAAATAATGGAAAACAGCAATAGAAAAGCATTTGACAAAACTGAAAATCCTTTCATGATAAAAAAAAAAAATACTAAAAAAACTAGGAACAGAAAGGAATGCCCTTAAGCTGATCAATGGCATCTATGAAAAACCACAGCTAATTTCATACTTAGAGGTGAATGATTTGATGCTTAAATGTTTACATGGGAATAATTACAAGGATGTCCATTCCTACTTCCATTTAGCATAGCATTACAAGGTCTACCTGGGGCAATTAAACAATACAATGAACTAAAACATACTCAGAATAGGAAGAAATAAAATTATTTCTACTTTTAGAAAAAAAAGATTAGTATGGAAAAATTACTTGAACAAGCTGGCAGGATGTAAGAGCAACAAAGAAAAATCAGTGAAGTTGTTGATTCTAACAGATTAACAAGAAAAACTGAAGGAAATGGTTTCATTTACAACAGTATTAAAAAAAGATAAAATACTTAGGAAGAAATTTAACACAAAAATATAATAAAACATACATTAAAAACTTTTATATCACTCAAAGAGACATAAAAATGCCTACACAAATGGGAAGACATAGTTTTGGACTAAAGATTTAAAACTCTTTCAAGTGGTGATACTGCCAAAATTATTTACTGACTGACTATAATCCCTGTAAAAAATCCCAGCAGCCTTTTTTTCTGAAGCAGATAGGATGATCCTAAAATTCATGAAATTCAAGGGAACCATAACAGACTAAACATTCCAATTTCAAAACTTTACAGTACTGAAGACTGTGTGTTATTAGCATAATGACCTATAGAACAATGGAATGGTATTAAAAGCACTGAAATAAACCCTTACAACTGTGGTCAAAAATTTTTGACAAGAGTTTCACAGATATTCAGGTGGAAAGATCCATCATAAAAAAACAAAACAAAAACTCCTCTGAAAATGGAAGACACATCTAAATCTAAGAGCTAAATGAAAAAACTCTTAGAAAGCAGGAGTAAATCTTCAGGACTTCTGATTAAGAAATAGTTTCTCAGCTATGACATCTAAAGCAAAAGACAAAGGAAAAAAAAATTAGACATTGTCTAAGAAGGAGCTGACAATGGTACATGGGGGCCCAGGGGTATGAATGTCTCTCTGAAAGGGTCAGAAGGAAGGAGAATAGCCCAGCCTTTCACTGTCCCAAAGAAGAGCAGATAAAGAGCTCGCAGCCCAGCCCCATGGTGCCTCTAGAGGCACCAGCAGCAAGAGGTTCGTTTATTCATTGTTGATTCACAGACTTACATGGTACCAAGAATGGGGTTTATTAGGGAAGTAATTTAGAGAGTTGGAGAGGTAAAGAATATCACTCAATGCTAACCTAAGTTTTAGCCCTGCAGCCCCAAGGCACAATTCCTTAATTAGCACAGCCTCTGGTGTCACTTCAGCAACACAAAATAAAGAAGCCGCCTCTGGTTTCTCCAATCACCCAGGAAAGTTTGCCTCAGAGCAGTTATAACTCAGCTTCTCCCTCAGCATACAGTGAGAACAGCAAAATCTTTAACTGTAGCAAGCACAAATGCAAGAAGCCTCAGGTCACACATTGCCACAGTTTCTCCATAGCAACACCAAGTCTCTCCACCAACATCACCAGGGTCTTGAGGCAGTCTCCCTCAAGTCTTGCTGCTCTGTGTGGGAAGCACTCTCTTATCCTAATTCCACAGGTGTGGATGATTTGCAAGACCATGTGTCTTCAATTAAGGTAGCTAGAGACCAGAGAGAGCTAACGGTAATGGTTAAAAGAAATGAACAGCAAATGTGACAGCCATCATCAAAATTAAAATACTTTGTGATTCAAGAACTAATACTAATGACTGAGAAGCATATTAAGAGATGCTAAGATTATTAGTAATTAATTATGGCGAATCAAAACAATGAGTCCATTTCATACCTATTATGTTGGGTATAGCATGCAAGTATGATATAACTTTCCAATGAATAGTCCCCCTTTCAAGCAACATATCATGTTTGGAAAGGTGTAAGGTCAGAGAAAGAGAGGAAGACCCTTAATAAGATGGACTGACACGGTGGTTGCAACAACGGCTTAGGTGTGTCAGAGATGAGGAGGATGGCATAGGACAGGACCGGGTTCAGGTCTGTTGTTCATAAGGTTGCTATGAGTTGTAGTCATCTTGGCAGCATCTAACAAAAACATGTTGGGCCAAATAACAGAAAAAAATGAAAAAAGAAAAACAACTGTTAGCATCATTATTAAGCGCTGTTGCATTAACCATGATCAACCCTATGAACAACAGATAGAAACCTTGCACTATGATACGCCATTGTCAGGATCTCCATCAAGCTTACGACCATGGATGCAGTGACTGTACTAATCCATCTCTTTGTCGTCCTTCCACTCTTGGGCTGGTTCTCCACCCTTCCTAGCATGGTATCTTTTACCACGGACAGGCTCCTCCTAAACCATGCCCAAAGTATGCGAGACAGTGTCTCACCATCCTGGCTTCTCAGAGGCACTCTGTTTGCACTTCCTTTAAGACAGATGTGTTTGTTCTTTTGGCAGTCTGTGGAATAGTCAATACTCTGCCCCAGTGCCACGTTCAAAGGCTTCAATTCTGTTATTCTTATTCATTGTCCTATTTTTGCATGCATAGGAAGCAGTGGCAAAGACCATGACTCAGACTGTTGTTTACCTTCAAGTTGAGCACGACTCAGAGCAACCCTATGAAAAAAAGGCCTGAAGCCTTACTAGAACTGTCGACATTTATAAAGATTCATAGAGTTTCCAAAGGCATGTTGTTTACGAAGTGGATGCCACTAGGGATAGTACATCTGAACAAGTTTGACATAGATTAGGTACATCTTAATCTTTAAACTAGCCTTGCAGTTTGGAGAGGTTTATGAGAGCTGATTTCTCCAACTCAGCATGTCTTTTAATTTCTTGACTGATGCATCCATGAGAGTTAATAGTCGATTCAAGTAAAATGAAATCACTGACAAATTCCACCTTTTCTCCAACTGTCATGATTTTGTTTGCTGATTCAGGAGTAAGAATTTTTCTTTTCTTGATATTGAGCTGTAACCCCTATTGAAGGCTTTGATCTTCTGCAGTAAGGACTTTAAGTCATCTTCACCTACAGCAAGCAAGATTGAGTTATCTGCAAAATGCAGCATTCCTCCAATCCAGATGCCACATTCTTCTTCATATAGTCCAATTTCTTGAATGATTTGCTCAGCATATGGAGTGAATCGGTATGGAGAAATGATATACCCTGACACACATCTTTTCTGGTTTTAAACCATGCTATGTACCCTTTTTCTGTTTTTCATCTATGCAGAGGTTTCACATGAGCACAATTAAGTGTTCTGAGATTTCCATTCTTCTTTTTTTTAGATTTCCATTCTTCTCAGTATTAACCATCATTTGTTATGAGCTACACAATCAAGAGCATCTTGAGAACATCTACATGATGTTCTCTGAGAAGGCAGTTCTGCCCCTTTCACATTGTGAATGTCTTCCAACTCAAGGAGCTCATCCACTGGCACTATATTCAACAGTGTCCTTCCATTATTCACAGGTTTTTTTAAAGGCCTGTTATTTCAGAAGTAGTTTGTCAGTCTTGCTTTTAAGTGTGGAAGCTCCACTTAAATCTGTCCACCACTGGTGACCCATTCGTATTTGAAATACTAGTGGCACAGCTCCCAGCATCCCAGCAACAAGGACAGTAAACTGTAAACCACAATACAGCAAACTGACAGACAAGTAGTGGAGTGTTGGTGAGAATGTGGAAAACCTGAAAATTTAAAGTATCACTCACTTACTCGCTACTGTGAAGGAAATTGCCTGTCTTTCTCCCTCAGAGCTGATGGTGGATTTGAACCACTAGAGGAGCCACTTTTGGGTCAGCAGTGCAATTCTTTATGGACGATGCTACTAGGGCTCCCTCAGTAAGTATATATTTACATAAAAAATTTAGACATGAGCATTCAGAGGTATTTATTATAGTCTAAAAGTAGAAACAACCTAAATGATCATTAACTTATGAATAGATACACAAAATGCAGTAGTATATATTATTTTCAGAGAATGGAATATTCTTAAGTATAAAAGATTGTAACATGGATGAACTTTGAAAATATTATGCCAAGTAAAAAGAGGCAATAAAACAAGGCAGCATATCAAGAGACCACATTTTAGATAATATGTCTAGAACTGGCAAACCCAATGGGACAGAACGCAGCCTGCTGCTAAACTTGTTGTTAGGTGCTGCTCAGATGACGATGACTCGTAGCAACCTTCTGAATAATGAGTCTAAACCCTGTCCTATTATGTGCCATCCTTAACAACTCTGACACTCTTGGGCCTGCTGATGTAGTCACTGTCAATCCATCTTGTAGAGGGTCTTCCTCTGCTTCACTGACCTTTCCTAGCATGAGGCCTCTGCCAAAAACTGACCTTCCTAATAACACATCCAAAGTGTATGAGAGGTATTGATAATAGTCTAAAAGTAGAAACAACCTAAATTATTAACTTATGAATGGATACACAAAATTTTATATATATATGTGTGTGTGTGTGTGTGTGTGTGTGTGTGTGTGTGTGTGTGTGTATAGAGTATAAGATGGTATTCACCACCCTTGCCTAAAAGGAGCATTCTCGTTGCACTTTTGTGGAGACATATTTACTTGTTCTTCTGTCAGTCAATGGGATATTCCATTTTCTACAAAACTACAACTCAAAGGCATCGATTCATTTTTCTGTCATCCTTCTTCATTGTCCAACTAAGCAGACTGTTGTTATGTACTGTGTGACCTTCCAGCGAGTTTTCAGAGGCATAAAATTGCACAGGGGGAGACTGCCCACCTTTGTACACTGAGCAGTTAGTGGATTCAGACTGTGCATCTTTGAGTTGGCAGCACAAATTGTTACCACTAAGTAATCAGAGATGGTTGTGTGCTGTCAAGTTGCAAATGACTCATAGCTGACCCTCCAGCAGGTTTTATGAGGAAGTAAATAGTACAGGAAGAGACTGTCCATTCTTCAGGAGCAGCTGGTGGATTTGAACTATGTGCCTTTGGGATCACAGTGCAGCTTCTTACCAGTAGGGTGTCAATTGTGAGGGCAAAAAAGGAAATAGGAAGGAAAACAGACAGGGGTTTATTTTAGGATGATGAAAATATTCTAGAATTAGATAGTGGCAAAAGTATAAAAAGCTATTGAATTGTCCACTTTAAAAAGCTAAAAGGAGATTCATATTTGTTCCTATTCCCCAAAAAGGAGATCTGACAGATGTGGAAATTATTGTATAATATTACATGCAAGCAAAATCTTGCTGAAGAGTATTATAAAATAGCCAGAATAGTGTAACAACAGAGAACTGCCACAAATTCAAGTTGGATTCAGAAGATACAAGGCATAAGGGATAACACTGCTGACATCAGAAGGGTCTTGGCTGAAAGCAGAGAATACCAGAAGGACGTTTATTTGGTTTTGATTATGGAAAGGCATTTAACTATATGTTGTTGTTATGTGCCGTCGAGTCATTTGCGACTCACAGTGATCCTATGTACAACAGCCCTAAACCCTACTCTATCCTGTGCCAATTGCACTGCCTCTGACATACCCATCCATCTCATAGAGGGTCTTCCCCTCTTGCGCCGTCCCTCCAGCCTCCCAAGCATGACGTCCCTCTCCAAGGACCTGTCCCTCCTTGCAACATGTCCAAAGTATGTCAGCTGAAGCCCCAGAATCCTTACCTCCAAGGAGTAGCTTGGTTTAACCCTCTCCAGAATGAATCTGTGTTTTCCTAGCAGTCCATGGTACCCTCAATACTCTTCTCCAGCACCACAGCTCAAAGGCATCAATTCTCCTTCTATCCTCCCTAGTCATTGTCCAACTCTCTGATGCATAACAAGTGATTGCAAAGACCATGGCCTGTCTTGGGCACACCTTAGTCTCCAGAGAGACACCATTGCTCTTCAGTACTTTAGAGAGGTCATTAATAGCAGACTTTCCCATTGCAATACGTTTTTTGATTTCCTGATGCTGGTGCCAAGAATGTTGACCTTGGAACCGAGGAAACTGAAGCTGTGAACAATCTCAATCTCTTCGCCATCCATCCTGATGCTACCAATTGGTCCACTGCTGAGAATCTTTGTCTTCTTGACATTGAGCCTCAGTCCATACTGAAGGCTGCAGTTCTTGACCCTCCACAGCAAGTGCATGAGGTCCTCCTCGGTTTCAGCAAGCAGGGTTGTGTCATCTGCATAACGCAGATTGTTAATAGATCTTCCACCAATCCTGATCCCACAATTCTCCTCATAGAGCCCAGCCTCCTGGATAATCTGCCTGCAAACAGGTTGAAAAGGTATGGAGACAGGACACATCCCTGGCGTACACCCTTCCCAATTTTGAACCATGCAGTGTTACTCTGCTCTGCTCTGACAACTCCCTCTTGGTCCAAGTTTAGGTTTCACATTAGCACGATTAAATGTTCTGGGATTCCCATTCTTCTCAGAGTCAGCCACAGTTTGTTATGATCCACACAGTCAAATGCCTTTGCATTATCAATGAAACACAGATAGACATTCTTCTGGTATTCCCTGCTTTCAGCTAAGATCCATCTCACATCAGCTACAATATCCCTAGCACCACGACCCTTTCTAAACCCAGCCTGGACTTCTGGCAGTTCTCTGCTGATGTGCTGCTCCAGTCGTTTTTGGATAATCTTCAGTAGAATCTTGCTTGCATGTGAAATCAATGATATCGTTCTGTAGTTTCCACACTCAGTTGGGTCACCCTTCTTTGGAATAGGAACAAATATAGATCTCTTCCAGTCAGTTGGCCAAGTGGTTGTTCTCCAGATTTCTTGGCACAACTTGGTGAGCACATCCAGGGCAGAATCTGTTAGCTGAATACGTCAATTAGTATATCATCTATTCCTGGGGCCTTATTTTTTGCTATTTCCTTCAAAGTAGCTTCAACTTCTTCCTTCATCACCATAGGCTCTTGCTCATATGTTAGTTCATTAAATTCTTCTGTGTCTGCCAATTCCTTTTGATACAATGACTCAGTATATTCCTTTGACTATATGGGTCATAAAAAATATATAGGAAACAATGAGAAAAATGTGAATCCTAGAGTACTTAATTTTGCCCATGAGAAACTTTTACACAGATCAAGAAGAAGTAGCTTGAACAGAAGAAAGGAACATGGTGTGGTTTGAAATTAGATAAGATGTACATTAGGGTTGTATCCTTGCCCCATATGTATTCAATATGTACACTGAACAAATAATCTGAGAAGCTGGACTATCAAGATTGAAGGAAGACTGTTCAACAACCTTCATTATGCAGATGATACAAACTTGCCTGTAGAAAGTAAAGAACACTTGAAGGACTTGGCACAAAATATCAATGACGATTACATCTCAACATGAAGAGAACAAAAATCTACACTACTTGTTCTAAAGATAACATCATAACAGATGGAAAAAAAGAGTAAAGCTGTCAAGGATTTAATTTTACTTGGATCCACAATCAACATCCATGGTAACAGCAGTCAAGAAATCAAAAGAAAGGCTGTACTGAGAAAATCTGCTGTCAAGTATCTCTCTAAAGTGCTAAGAGCAAGGCTGTCAGTTTAAAGACCTAATGCACAGTCTTTTCAATTGCTTCCTATGCATCTAAAAGCTGGAAAATGAGTAAGGATGACAAAAAGAAACAATGCCTTTGAATTGTGGTTTTGGTTGAAGAGTATTAAATATACCATGGACTGCCAAAATAACAAATAAATCTGTCTTGGAGGCAAGGATGGAGAAACTTTGTTTCACTTATTTTGGACATATTCTCTGAAGGAACCAGTACTTTGAGAGAGACGCTATGCCCGGAATGGTGGAAGGTCAGTGAAAGAAAGGAGGACTCAACAAGATGGACTGACACAGTGACTATTACAATGGGCCTGAGCCTGACAGACCACAAGGATGCTGCAGAACAGGACAAGGTTCTCATTTGTTGTTCATAGGGTCGCTAAGAGTTTGTGTGGACTTGATGGCATTTAACAACAATGAACTAAAAACCCTAAACTCACTGTTGTCAAGTTGGAACCAACTCTTGTTGACCCTCTCCTGGGTTTCCAAAGCCATAAACTGCATGAGAAGAGATTATCCATCTTTTTCCCACAGAGTTGCTGGTGGATTTGAATTGTCAGAGAAAGAGGTGGCCTTTGAGCTAGCAGCCTAATTGAAGGACTATGTATGTGAATGATATCTCATTAATAAATGCAATTTTTAAAAAACCCACCAAAAAACCCTCCCATAACCCCACAAGAACAATTAACACTACCAACATACTTGTCTAAATGAAAACTTACATTTTCTGTGAGGGTCATGTTTTCTTTGATGAGCTTTAATACTGTTGTCATTAACGTCAGACTTAGGATGCTGAGTTGCTTGACTTGTTTCTTGAGGAAGAACTTTACCCTAAATATTGAAATTGGTATAAATGAAATAAAACCTTAATAATGACTTATTTTCCTCAAATTTTGGTAAAAATGAATATTTTATAAAAATTATATAACTTCGGGGAAAAATAATAAGCAATACAGAAAAGGGAATTTTAAAAAAATTCCTCAGATCTCATCACCCAGAAAGAACCATTAGGAACATAACAACTATCAATCACTCCAGACATTTCTCAATACATGAATTAAACAGCAGGGTAGAAACAGAGATAATTTTACACATGTGTTATTTTCAATACAAAGTATTAAATTTCATTTTGGTTTGAGTTAACAAGTGTAGATGCTAAGTAAAATAAAATTCACTGCTGTGGGATGGGAACTGACTCTGACTGAACCGCCCATGGGATTCTGAGGCTGTAAAGTGTGCGGGAGAAGACTGCTCATCACTCTCCTGAGGGCCGCTGGTGGATCTGAGCTCTCAGAGAGGCATGGGCTTTGATTTTACAGCACAACTCCCTACAGATAGAGCCACAAAGTAAAATAGAAGAAAATAATAAGCTTTAGACAAACACCTTTTCCACAAAAGAAATATACCTCTATACTAACTGAAAAAGAATTCTCTACCAAGGGAGCTCTGGTGGTCAGGTGGCAAGAAGCTGTGCCATAATCCCAAAGACACGTGGCTCGAATCCACCAGATGCTTCACTGGAGAAGGAGGAGCCATCTCCTCCTGTGCCAGTCTGATCTGATTCAATGGCACACAACAAACAAAGAATTTTTTTTAAAAAAGAAAGAATTCTACCTCTGCTATGGTGGTGGGGAAGTAAGTGGGGGGCTATAAAAGCATAAGGGTGAACTTGTGCAAGGTTAGGAATGAATAGCTACCCATTATTTCTAGTATTCTCACTACTAGCTCATATTTTATAATTTCCTTTAAAAAGTTATTAAAATTCATCATTTCTGACACAGCTATGAAATTGATTATTAATAGCCATTCACATTTATTTCGACTTTTCACCAAGTCATTTTAATAAATACTCATGTTGTCAAAGTTTTTACACAATGAATAGACTTACACTACCAGACAGTAAAAATGATTACAAAGTAACTATAATTGAGACAGTGAAAAGTGTGAATGGAATTAAATTTCATATAAAGATCTTATCAAATTCTTTTATTTTTGATAGAGAAGAGGAAAACTGAAGGCAAAAATAAAACAAGGCAACTGAAATGTCAAAAACCCCAACAGAAACAGAGACATAGACTATTTCACAGAAATCAATACGTTCACAATTTTACTTTGGGCTGGCCCCATTTACTATTCTCTGGAAACAGACAAAACACGGAGGATTCACGTACGTCATGTTGTAGTTGGTTTAGCCATGACGTGAACAGTTGTGATGCAGGAGTGTGAAAGATGTGGGAAGGGCTCAAATATTTCTATCAGCATTGCACCATTGCTATCTGGACTGTGGACGACGACAATGCATTTGGGGGCTTAGGGACATGAAGGAAGGGACCGGCACCATCAGGATCAAATGAATGGTAGAAAATTATTCTGAGCCAGTCCCTTCAGGATGTGTGTTATATCCATTATCTTGTGTATAGTGTGAGACGTGGATCTTGTTTCCGTTTTTTTTTTTTTTTTGCAAAACAATTGAAAAACATTTATTATACTGAGATGTGTACATCCCACTGTTAAAAAAAAAAAGTAGCAAATTTGCTGGTACTATAATTTAACCTGTTTCACTGGGATAGACTCATGTTCAATACTTTTCAGTACAATTTCCAATTTGATGAGCTTTTAGTTAACTTGTTTCAGTTTTCTACAAGCAAATGTCCAGTTTTGGCAGCATCATTTGCTAAAAGAGGCTGTCATGTCCCCATTTAATCAATTTTATTACCTTGTCAAATATCGGCTGACCATAGGTGATTTCTATATTTTCTATTTTATTCCATTGATCTACATTTCTGTTGTTATACCTATACGATGCTGCTTTAATTACTACAGCTGTGTGAAGTAGGTTTTGAGATTAGGAAGTGCGATGCCTCCAACTTCTGAAGAGCTTAGAATTCTGGGTCAATTTCCTGTCCAAGCAAAACTGGACATTGCCTTTTCAATCTCTTTGTAGAATGAATTTGAGATCTGTATTGTGATTGCATTGAACTATTGTAGATTGTTTTTGTAGGACTGGTTTTTCTGTCTCTAATCAGGTTTATCTCAAGTAGTTAATCTTGTGGTTTAAAACTGTAAATGGTAGTTTTCCTTGTTTCCTTTTCCATGTTTTCGTTGTTGATGTAGAGAAATCTCAGACTTTTATATACTGATCTTGTATCCTGTCCCTTTACTAAATTGGTATACTAGATATAACAGGGTTTTTTTTCTGTTGAGTCTTTGGGATTTTCTATGGATGGCATCATGTCATCTGTATATAGTAACAGTTTTGCAACCTCTTTGCAAATCTGGATGCCTCTTATTTCCTTCTCTTGCCTTACTGAGCTCCCTAGAACTTCCAATACAATATTTAATAGGTGTGGGGATAGCAGGCAGCCTTACACAGTCCCTCATCACTAGGGGATTTTTTGATCTCTCTGTGGAAAATGATGTTGACTATTGGTTTTATGTATAGACTTTTCACTATGTTAAGGAAATTCTCCTTTATTCCAATTTTGCTGAGTATTTTAATCAGGAATGGGTGCTGAAATATGTTGAAGGTCTTTTCTATATCAACAGAACATGTATGTGGTTCTTGTTCTTTGCTTTGTTAATGATTGTTTTTCTTATGTTGAATCATCCTGCAGTCCTGTTATAAACCCTAGTTAATCGTACCAGTAGTTCTTGATCGTATAGTACTTCTTGAAATATCTTATTGTTGGTCAACTTTTGGTTTTCTGGTACAGTGATTGGGTGTAGTCTATTTTCTTTCGATGCTTCCTGGATCATTCAAGATTTTGCCCATAGAATCTCCCAGTATTGCAAGTGAAAGCTTGAATTTATTCTTCAATTCTTTCAGCTTAACAAATGCTGAGTTTTTTTTCTTTTTATTCTCCAAGTCCAGCTCTTTGCACATTCTTTGCTGTGTCTTCTCTAGCTGCCCTTTGAAATCTTCTGTTCAGCTCTTTTATTTTAGCATCTCTTCCCATTATTTTGGCTTCTCAACACTCTAGTGAGATTTTCAGATATGTTCTGATATCCAACAAGGTTTTTTTTCCCTCTCCTCTGTCTCTGTAATGATCTTTTGCTCTCTTCAGAGATTATAACCTGGAAGTTATCCCATAACTCATCAGAGGTTTGATCACTGGCATTCAGTGCTTCAAGCCTACTATCAAGATGATTTTAAAATTCAGGTGGGATAGACTCAAGGTTTATATTTTGTTTCTCATGGGCTTGTTTTAATTTTCTTCAGCCTCAATCCCAAGTCAGCACCTGGCTTCATTTTTACGGCTGATATTGAGCTTCTCCAGTGATTCCTTCCACATAGGCAGTCAATCTGAAATCTATGGAGTCCATCAGATGAGATCCAAGTATAAAGTCACTTTTTGTGTGGTGTTTTTTTTTTTAAAAAAGCACAACATTTATCTGTCAGTTTGTCTTATTAGGGGAACGATGTGCATATTGCTAATTATTTAATAGCTAAGTATCGATATTCTTGCTTGATTTTCATTGTTCTTACTAATACAGCACTCATCTGTCAGTTTGCTGTACTGAGGTTAACTTGTGGGTTTCTGTGATGCTGAAAGCTATGCTATTGGTGTGTCAAATGCCACAAGGGTCATCGTTGTAGAAAGGTTTCAGTAGAGCTCCCAAAATAAGAAAGATTAGAAAGCAGGACTGGCCACCCATTTCAAAAACAGCAGACCTCTGGAAACCCTACAGACAATAGAGGGACATGGAGAGTTACATGATTAAGAGAGTCAAGACTAGAAGTCAATCAGAACCAGGAAAAACAGCTGGAAACATACTTTAATAGTTAGGACATGAATGTATGAAGTATGAATGTTGGAAAACTAGAAGTTGTGAAAAATGCAATGGAATGCATGAATATTGACATTCAAGGCATTACTGAGATAGGATGAAAAATTGAGGAATAGTGTATTCATAGTTAAAAAGACAATTTCAAGTTTTATCCTGAAGTACAATGTTGTGAGAGGATATTATCCATATGTATACAAGGAAGATCTGTTAATATGACAATTATTCAAATATACACACTAACAACCAAAGCCAAAGAGGAGAAAATTGAATATTTTTTATGAAATTTTACAAGCTGAAATTGACTAAACATGCAGAAGGCAGATGGAAAGTAGAGACTTGGTGATCAAAATGGGGCTGGAAATAGAATTTCCTGCGTTCAACAAGTTGTACGTCCTAGCATTTAAAGGGGAGAAAACACTGGTGTGAATGAGTATTCATACTATAAAATGAGAGCAGAGAGAGCTGAGAAAAAATAGCAAGGTTTTGAGTTCTACCTTAAGGCGAAAGGGTGATGCCATGACTAGCAGAACCTGACGTAGGTTATGACAAAAGAGTGACTGCTCTTATTTACTAAACACTTCATCTAATTATGACATAGAGGCAACCAAGATGACAGGGTCTTTAGAAAGGATTAAGTATGAAGTAGGACATGAGAAAGACTATAGAAGAAACATAAAAAATAGGAAGAAGAGAAAAGAAATTAGTTTAGGCCTGAGATAATAATTAAGGTCTAGTTACTATGAAGTGAGAAGGAGTAGAAAGATTTGAGGTCTCATTGTAAGGGAGTGGGGGTGGGAAGGAAAAAGCATAAAAAGTTACTCCAAGAAATTATGGTATATTCACATGACGGAATACACAGAGGAGCAATGCTTTTGTAAATTACTACCTTACTTGGGAGGAACTGAAGAGCATTATGTTAGGTGAACTAATTCAGTCTCATAATGACAAATATAGTATAAGACCATTATTGTAGAATGTGTATGTGGATCCAGTGGGGGAAGGGGGAAAAGAGGGGTGAGGATGGGCTGGATGAGGGGGTAGTT